CGACAGTATATGTACGGATAGTGTACGGACAGTCGACGGATAGTGTACGGACTTAAAATTTTGTGTGTTTTAATACGCCCAGCGATGGCTGTAATTGATTAGCAAATTACGTGTTCATGGACGTAGATTGGCTAAGATGCGCTCGTGGAAGTGTGTTATTACTGCATTCATACACCTATTTAAGCATCCAGTGTGTTATAGCTGTGCTGGCATGATAATGCTACAAAATCTTCCTCCATGACCACCCATTATGGATAAGAGCAAATTTTGTTTTATGCACGTGAATTCAAATGTCGGACACCTTTTTTGTGAATGCTCAGATGTGATGAACGCTTAAGGCCAAGAGATCGTCATCGATGTAAAAAGTTTCACTTTTACGAGACTGTGGGTTTTAATTATGCTATTACACCATCTCGTTGCATGCCAATGTCTTCCTCCGATGGTTTTAACCACCACGGTCCAGGCTCCCAGACAAATCCGGCCCATCGACTAGTGCTGTCCTGACACGGAGTGTACCAGCACTATTGTGCGTTCTACAAACTTGTTGGCGAAATACAACAAAATCAAATATGCTCCACCCAGTGCATTTGGTCCCGATACCTAAATCCAGATGCACATACGGATGCAGACCCCGTCTGGGGACGTCATCACACGTTAAAAATAGATTCCCTAGTGCTAGACGTCCCAGTCTCCTTACCGGCCTGGAGCGCATCACGCGAGGCTGAGCGGCGAAGGGGCGGAGAGGCGTCAACGCCAATAACCTCCTTGGCTTCAGGACCAGCTCTGGGTGGGGCAGCTGGCGGCTGTATAACTGGTAGCTGGAATGTTGGATGCAACTCCGGCCCCCTTTCAGCTGTGCTCAGCTCATGTTGGCAGGCGGGCTGGCTGGCAGACTGGTCCGGTGTCCGAGCGCTGGGCCTGCGCAGTCGAGATAAGTGGACCGGCTGGAGCAGTCGTCGCATCGACGGGCGTTAGCGCGGGATGCAAGCTCATGCTAGCGATATGGACGGGGCAGATGCGTGACGATGGACTCCACCTCGCACGGAGGGGGGAGGGGTATGTCGCGATTTGGCAGCCGAGCAGCACGCCCGACGACGCTGGTGCCTCGGAGCTCTTGTCGGAACATTCGCGATAGGCGGGCAGCCCAATGAGGGCGCGAATGCTGGTGGCTTCGAAGCAGGTAGAGGTGCAGGTGCACACTCTCCGCGGGACCGAGGCCACACCCGGCGCTACCAAAGATGCGGGCATAATGGACGCGGCGGGCAGAGTGTGGCCGGCGGCTTGTCCTTGGACATCGACTCACGCCGGTTGGCAGGCACCACCGACCGGCAGTCACACAGGACTGTGCCCGTCAGCGCGCTGGCGACCAGCAACCAGACCTGCATGAGGCACAACCAAGCCTTCCCTGTGCCACCATGACCCTTGTCTATGCTTCAATCCCGTCAACTATGCTTTTGGTTATCTTTCGCCGGTCGACGTCCATACGGTCCACGTTCAATTCTCATAACGCTAGGGGAACAGTCGCATCTCGCTGGAGCATATTTGAAAGAATGAATACCATTTCATCATTGTGTTATCCCGACAAATTTCCAAAATACATTTCTATTACATCTACTTTTGAACCAATGGTCCTGCTCCCCCGGATGGGCGGGGCTAGACTTGCTATCTGCGCAGGCTTTACCCCGCCACTACTGATCCCGGCTTGTAGCGTCAATGACGTCAGCAGGCGGCGCCTGCGCAGTAGTGATAACAGCGAATGACTATCCGGTAGCATTAAAGGTCAAGTCCGAGGTGCTCGATTCTCTGTCTTTAAAAAAGCAACATCGGAGCAGGAAAAAAGTTAGTTACCGCGTGATAACGGATTGCGAATCCACCAGTTGAGGGTAACTACCAAACCCAAATTGAGCGGTACTCAGGAAAAATATATTTCTGTTTGAATATTTAGCAGTAACATTGTCTAAAAAATTCAAAGCAGTTTTGATAACAAAAACCTTCTCGAACTATTCGGGCTGCGAGCAGTGCTGGCAAGACCGTAACGTGGCTCAAGGTGGCGCTCTTTTTGGAACAATTTCTGGAACAACGTTTGGAAATGCATTGCCGCCTTCACGATAACATCCCTTGGTGGTGACAAAGATGTGACAGATCACGGTTTCTTCATCACTTCTAAGATCCAAGGGCAACGCTTCTGCAGGATTGGGGACCACAAAATGGGGCATTCACGGATAAGCTTTCCCTTACCCAATCCTCCCTCTACCCATTAGACTGTGCTCATGCCCACCTGCCCCCCATTCCTGACCAGTTGTACCTACCCGTTACCCACCCGTTTGCCTTTTTCCAGCACATGACTTCGAGATTATGGAAAATTGTCAGGAAGTCTACATCCAAACTTATATTTTACGTCAATAATGACAGAGGTAGTTTTAAGAGAGTTATTTATCACAAAAAGGAATGCCAGCAGTAACGTTTATGGTATTTTTTAAATTATCTACCCAATATTTCGTAAAAGGCTTACAGATGCCCGTACCCAGAGCCGTAATTTTGCACAAAATCTATTACCGGCCCAACCCGTTATCCATTTCATTTGGACACCCATTGGTGTATATAAACCATGAAGTTCTCTAGTTGTAATCCTCTGCAATACGAGAAGTTCTCTTTCATCAACGTCTGCTTAATGGACGGCGGCAACGGCAAGGCCAGACAGCATTGCAACCTCAACCTCAACCAGGCAAGACAACGTGCTCCCGGTGCGGGAGCTGCTCGACGAGACATTCTCCTACATCGAGAGTTTTACGTCTACCTCAGAGAAGGGGGACGTGCCAGACCACAAATAAGTAACCCGGAGGGCACGACTGCCGCCTCGATGCACCAGTCGCCAACGAAATAGCCTGCATCAAGATTAGCCGGCAGTGGACTTAAGACGTACGCAGTAATTAAATGCAAGCGCAGCTTCAAACATCTCCATTGGAAATTGGCTGTGAAATGAAGCTAAACACAGTACACGAAACTTTTGCTGTGTAATATGAATAGTTGCATTCCGGGGACTCTCTGTTAACTATCATCGCTACCTTATCATCTCTTCCAATGACGACGGTCGGAGATCAGCACGAATTCGTTGAGCCGTCAATTCGTTAAAATGCTAGTTACAGCTGTCGCTAGCGCATTAACGCTATCGTTGGCGATAAAAACAATTCATGGAACAATATATTTCTTTTAGATTTCCGCCTGTTAACTTTGAGACCCCGTAACCACGTTTTCTCGCAAATGTTCCCTTGAGTTTGGAGCATTAGACGTTGCACAAGTGGTGTGTGTGTGGGGGGGGGGGGGGTCTCAGCGTCTGTCCTTCTCTGGAGACTCGAGAGTTTGGTCTTCGGTGAAAGGAGTTGTGGGGAAACAAGATGATCAAAAGTTTTATGACAAGTGTTAAGTTTCAAACAATTTTCATGTCGGACGAAGGTACCTGGACCAAATCGTGGACAGGCCAGGCACTTTATCGTAGGTGGCGTAAGACAACCCGAGACCTCAAGGGACACTTTGGCTGGGCATATCGCGGGGTTGATGACCCAGTCATTGCCTGTGTTCGTTAGCAATACTCTTTGTTGTGGGCATTGGTACTTGAACGCGAAATCACGTTTCAAAAACAAACTTCTTGGGGACATAACGGTCCCACACCCCGAGCGAGACAAGCGTGGCAGCAAGATGAGCCAGCTGTGCTCATGCTAGCATGACGCCCAGGATGTCATACTGGGGACACTTGTCTGGCCTGATGTCAGGAAGGAGGGAGGGGGGGGGGGGACGCTGGCTGGACGCTTATCTGGCTTGTGTGGTTAGGGGGTGCTGGAGTCTCCACGATTTAAAAAACTGCCCGGGAAGTGGTGGATCAAGTGGGTCTAAATAGAGTTCTGTGCTGGGAGTAGTAGGACTCGAATATATTTGAACAGATTAGGGTTTTCCGAATCCTCGAATTCTAAAACTGAGATGATTTGAATACAGAACATTATAATTCAAGTCCTAAAAGTCTCTGCCGAATCATAAAACGCTGCCGAAGTATGATGATATTGTATGAGCATCCAAAAAGACGTATTGCAATGTACGCCAGGCCCAAATTGTCCTCAAGCACATCAGATACTGCACGTGCGTGTCCCAGCAGTTCCGTTTCTCAATGCCATACCTTGCAAGCTCTGTGTCACTAGCCCCGACGGTTTCTAAACCCGTGTGGGGGGGGGGGGGGAAGAGGGTAGATTTGTAACACCCATCCCTTCTCGAAGGCACGCTATGTACAGAGCCCCTTGAATATAAAAGTATTTAAGCCCAGCCCTACCGAGTGTAAGATGGGACCCAGCTGTCCCGGAACCAGTGTCCAGCTGTCCCGGGACCAGTATCCGGCTGACTTAGCTCTGCCAGGATCAGTCAGCTGAACAGACCCGGGACCAGTGTCCAGCTGACCGAGCCCTGCCACGATCAGCCAGCCGAGCAGGAGCTCTGATTAATGCCGCCGTATTATCGACCGCGCCGGGATGCGCTAATTACCCGAGGCGTCAGTCGCCGCGTCACAATGGCTGTGTCTGCTCCGGCGACCGGGGCGACGACCGTCGCGACCCGCGCTTATCCAACTTCCCGACCCGCAGTGTCGACGGCAGAGGGGGGCGAGACCGGGAGAGAGGGAGGGCGTGTGTGCGTATGGGCGGGGGGGGGGAGGATTTTGGACTGTCATTATGGTCGCAAAATACGCGAGTATTTTGCGAGAAGGATATTACGGGCATTCTTGCTCATTGACGTGAGTTGAGTCGATGCGTTATCACGTTTTGTGATCCCTCTGCTCCTGCAATTATCCAACCTGCTCCTAATAAAAAGTCCAATGTGTCCGACCCCTGTTGAGAAGGGTTTCAGAATTGGCCTGGTGTATGTTAAGGTGAACATAAATGAGCCCAACGTGAAAGTGTTGAGCCCTAGCAGCGCAGCTCGCTGATTTTGTTGATTGCCGATGGTCGATTTCTCGGCAGATGTTCCTTCGGCACCCGGAAGGCCTCTCATCACCAACTTCACGTCTCGGTCAGTGTTTTTATCCTGGACTCCGGGCAGCAAGCAGAACAACAGCCCCATCAGACACTACATCATCCACGTCAAGTGAGTCGACTTGTCCGAGGTCTCTGTACGAGGCCCCACATCGGGCGGACCAACTTATCCTGGATCCCACCAAGTGGAAAGGGTCTTGGCGGAATGGTCATGTTGAACGCCGATGCGCGGCCGGTGCTCGCATGTAGACACGTGTTATGTAGGTATCTCACACACACATGCGAGACTGGATAAGCGCATCAGAGTGGTCGTGAGATGATGTTCATATTTTGTTTTTAGCGGTGGATTAGTTCAATGGTAAAGTTTTCCCACTATTTCCTGCTGTCGATGGTAATTGCCAGGCCCCACGCAGAAAAACCTGTTTGTGTTCGTACGCCGTTTTTACACTTTGTTCTCATAACGGCAGAGGAACGCGTTGTGCGATCCAGAACGAGCAGGGCCATAACGGACGTGGGGAATGTCGATTGTCATCACATAAATGGTGCCAAACACTAAGCTAATTTAGCCAGACGCTTTGATAACCCGTGCCAAGAGTCGGATTAATTGCGTTTGAAAATCCGTCTTCCATGAGAGTTTAACAGGGAGATGTCCCCTGATTTAGCATTGGAGCGTTAATTAATACATTCCGCGGCTTGAAACTTGGGCTGAATATGAGCCACGTCAGGTCTGCTAATTTCATTCACAGCATTCGTTTCAATCTGCATTGATTTACGGTCTGTGCCCATCGTAACAGTAACATCGCGAAAGACTCAGATGTGTTGGGTTGGATACTGACCTCACTTCACGGGGTTGCACGCCCGCGTAGTGTCTTTGGTCCGATTTCTCTCGCTTTTGGCCACAGGGTTTTGTGTTGTGTATCGTATTTGCAAAGACAACGTAGGTTTTTCCCACCCGGTTGCCGGTGCAATTGTCGGCCAGACAGTGTTGGAACATGGCGTCAAGGCATAGCCAGTACATTTCCTGCACCTTCAGTGGGTATAGCCGATACATTTCCAACAGTTGGTTTCGTTTGCTCATCTACTTTGATTGCTGATAGCTATCCTTTGAAACATCCCAAACAAGTAACGTGATATTGCGGGATAGCGGGGTTTACCATGCACCTTCCGGTGCGTTGAAGGCCTATTTTTGTTGGAGCAGAAGTCCAGACTCATGTAGATTTTTGACATAACAGACTTCTCTCTACTTTAAAGTTCCCCAGTCCATTTCAGGAATCGAACGCCACGTAAGCACTTGCAGCCCACCGAGCCCTGGATGGTACCGTGACAGCTCCCCGTCTGCACCCAAAGCGAGTGCATGACCGCGCCGGCTCACAGCCGCGCTGCTTTTGCACGGGGCGGGCTTTGTATCCCAGAGCCATCGCCAGCGTGCCGCCCGAGGCGGTGTACGTGGCCGGACCTCACGTGCTGACTGCCGAGGGCTGCCTCCCGCTGGGTATGCAGAGCGCGCTGCCGATAGCCGGGGCAGCTGGCTGCAGCCCGCATCAGAGCGTCTGCACCTGGGAGGCTCAGGAGGCATGGCCTCGCGTCTCCCGCATGCACGGACTGCAGCCGACGGCCGCTGCAAAAATACGGCGCGCTCTGATGCTGATGAAGCGCTAGTTTACATTGGTAATGGTGCAGAGCCGAAGGATAACGCTGAACTATGGCATCTTGGCGTGTCGATTGAGCACAAGCCTGTTCAATTTTGAAGATGAAGTGTTAGCGGAGGCGTCACTTTATATGCTTTGGAGCGCCCAATTCCCCCATGTTGACTTGATCCCTCCCCCCAGTACTTATCTGAACCCTCTCCCTCCCCAATGACTGTGGGCAAAAAAGGATACTGGACCAATAAATGCAGAAAATTTCCTTGAAATGCTGTTGCACCAGGTACTTGAAGATGTCACTCTTACGTTCATGTTCATTTTATGCGACGTGGTATCCTGGAGGGACCTGATGGGATTAAGTCATTCCAGCTCCTTTATATGCTAGACCAAGCAAATGTTGGCAGCTTTTTTCATCAGATAATCTTCGTATCGGAAACAAAATGGCTGCAATAGGAGCGCCACACTGAAAAAAAAAACAGTGCACGAACAGTGAACATCACGAGCATTGCAGCCGTTCAGGCTCCCATGTCCTGGCACCCAGCACGCGGCACCGCGCTAAGGGCTGCACGAAACAGAGGTGACTAAACAACGCTTCGATGACATGCACCGAGCAAAAGGCATATAAAGAAGCTTGCTGGTGAGTGCCAGTGCTCACCACAACGACTAGAGGACTCTTTCTTAACATGCTTACTAAGCGACTTTGCTAAAAAAACATCACTTTGCCCGATAGTCAAGCATGATGGCGTCAACGCTTTAAGATAACGTTTTATCTTCAGCCTCGGAAACAGATTGCGGCTGTGCAACAATCCTTATGTCCTGAGACCCGCGTGGTATTTCGGTGCTGCTAAATGTCTGCTGTAAGGTCGGCCTTTGTTGCGTCGTACTCCGTCGCCGCATATCAGGCAACCATGTATTTACCTACTGGTGTGCACGTCCCTCGTGAACATACGTGCCCAGTGGGTTCATAAAACCGGTCACGAACGCCACGGCTCGTTTTACCTTCGAGCAACATCCCTGGTCAGGGACCGTGAGGGAGCTTGTATGCTACGTTCTTCCGTGTGCATTCTCCTTTTAAATGCTTGACTCATCTGTGGTGAGCTCCAATCCCAGCTGGATGCACTGTTGCCTCGAGGGATGATCGAACTGGCATAGGCTTGAGACTGACACCACCAGTCCACGCTACCCTAAGGCCAAGCAGACCACTCTATAACCGTCTAGAAACGGGAGCATTACATGTAGATATAGGGAGTTTCACATGTAGAATGTTTGTTTTACCCTTCTACAAGCATCGTCGCGAACCTGATGTATTGTTAAAGGGAATGGCCCACATTTGAAGATGTTGAGATAAGCATCAGATATGTTAATGTGAAAGGGAATGGCCCGCATTTGAAAATGTTGAGACAAGCATCAGATATGTCGGGAAAAGCTTACTCGTAACTATCGGTAAGCTTTCAAGCCTAAAAACCACCCTAAGTACCAATATTTCAGAGTTTGTAAAAATGCACCCCATTACGCCACTGTTTGATGGCGTCATGGAATGGTTTTGTGACGACAGTAATACTTGCTAGCATCTGGCAGCCAGACCTACAGAATACCTCGAAACGCACGAAAGCTGATGCCAACAAGCCATTCCCGTCGCGGGCGCTGTGTTGGGCGGCAGATTAGTGAATGGCTTGTTTGTGGATTTTTTTGTCTCGGCACTGGTCACAAGAGAGGCTTTGGTGGGTTGGTTGACATACGCAGCGTAGCGATCGCCAGTTTTCAGGGCAGATTATTGATGCCAAAGCACTATGTGCTGTGAAGACTGCCATGAATCTCGCACCGAAACCTGCGAGGGACTGTTGAGGATGTGAATACTATTTTGTCGACTTACCCTTGCCTGCGGTGCTGTAGTCCTGACATTGATATCTTGTGATGTGCACTATCTTGTGATGTGCACAGTAGTTACTTTCTTTATTATTTGTGGCTGAAAACGCAGTTGCATGCAAAATGGATAAATCTGAACATTGCTTTGAATTGGTTGCCAAAGCATTGCTACTTCTGTGGTAAACATGGTAAAGTTAAGCTCAATTGTTTTTTTGCTTAGGATTATTTATGCAATTTATAGTGAACTCTGATATAACCGTTGTGGTGCAACAGCATTCTCGCTGTTGATGGTCCTTTGGCGTTGCTAAATCAGTTGTTACATGTCAATCATAAATCATAAGCTGATGTCTCATAGGCTTGAAACAGAGTAGTCAACCAATGTGATACATTGCGTAATGACACGGAACAACAGTGTCATCGTGACAGTACCTCAGTGTTGTACTGTGGTGTGGCATAATGATATGGTTTTTGTCTTGCAATCCCTGCTGCTTTCATAATAAATTCCATCATGAAAAGATGGGTCAAGCATGGATTCTTGTATTAACTACGCGTCTGACATGACTGGCCAAGATCACAAGATACAATATACAAATTACCTTCAGTAAAGCACACAACCAACAAGTGATATCACTTGCTTAGCCTGTTTTGGAAATCCACAAAACATGGGTGACAGAGATGCAAACAAGTTTTCTACTTCCACAGCCATGCAACATGCTGCAGCCATCAGGCTGCTTCACTCAAAAATGTTTTTTCCGCGAGTAATTACACATGTACAACAATAGAATATTACATGTGAACTGACACTGCAAACCTGTTGACCTTGCACAACTCTGGAGACATGACAAGTGCATGTAGTGATGGTTAGGTGGGCGAAATGCAAGGAAGTGGTGAACTGCTGATGCACACAAGGCTCCTGATAAAAATATTAAGTGCTATCCAGAAACCAACAGCTATACTTCTCCACCTTTGGTGTGTGTGTGTGTGTGTGTGTGTGTGTGTGCGTGCGTGCGTGCGTGCGTGTGTGTGTGCGTGCGTGCGTGCGTGCGTGCGTGCGTGCGTGCGTGCGTGCGGTGCGTGCGTGCGTGCGTGCGTGTGTTGTTGTGGTGGTGTGTGTGTGTGTGCGTGGTGTGTGGGTGTGTGTGTGTGTTCTGTTGTGTGTGGTGTGTGTGGTGTGGTGTGGTGTGTGTGGTGTGTGTGTGTGTGTGTGTGTGTGTGTGTGTGTGTGTGTGTGTGTGTGTGTGTGTGTGTGTGTGTGTGTGTGTGTGTGTGTGTGTGTGTGTGTGTGTGTGTGTGTGTGTGTGTGTGTGTGTGTGTGTGTGTGTGTGTGTGTGTGTGTGTGTGTGTGTGTGTGTGGTGTGTGTGTGTGTGTGTGTGTGTGTGTGTGTGTGTGTGTGTGTGTGTGTGTGTGTGTGTGTGTGTGTGTGTGTGTGTGTGTGTGTGTGTGTGTGTGTGTGTGTGTGTGTGTGTGTGTGTGTGTGTGTGTGTGTGTGTGTGTGGTGTGTGTGTGTGTGTGTGTGTGTGTGTGGTGTGTGTGTGTGTGTGTGTGTGTGTGTGTGTGTGTGTGTGTGTGTGTGTGTGTGTGTGTGTGTGTGTGTGTGTGTGT